TAGTCATTTGTGAATTGTCTTTGTCTCTTCAGTGTCATTGATTTTATTAAAATCTTTTGCCTTATCCTTGCATTGGTTACACTGATTACAGTTTGCTTTGTAAAGTTTCCATTCATGGTTTAGTGTCCATCTTTCACTGTTCCCAGTTGTCTGGAGTGTGCGTATGGTATCACTATATTACTTATGTAACTGTGTTTCTTATGTTGACTAGGATAAGAGACTATCTAGTCTGGGGGCTTAATGGAAGTAGTGAGCAAGTCAGGCCAAGTTGCGCCTAGGAATATTTAATGTTCTGTAGTGCCATAATTTGCGTTGCCTCACCCCAGAAGTAGATTGGATGTTCATTGGAACTGTGGGATTCCGCCTAGACCATTGCGAGCCAACATCTCAACATTTTATAACTACTTCAGAGTGCTGTTTGGTTTATCAGGGGAAATGTGACACTAGTAGTATGTGACAACTGCTCCATACAGCTTGTTGGTGTGACACATGTCTTCCACTGTTCCATACAGCTTGTTGGTGTGACACATGTCTTCCACTGTTCCATACAGCTTGTTGGTGTGACACATGTCTTCCACTGTTCCATACAGCTTGGTGGTGTGACACATGTCTTCCACTGTTCCATACAGCTTGGTGGTGTGACACATGTCTTCCACTGCTCTAAACAGCTTGTTGGTGTGACACATGTCTTCCACTGCTCTAAACAGCTTGTTGGTGTGACACATGTCTTCCACTGCTCTAAACAGCTTGGTGGTGTGACACATGTCTTCCACTGCTCCATACAGCTTGTTGGTGTGACACATGTCTTCCACTGCTCTAAACAGCTTGGTGGTGTGACACATGTCTTCTACTGCTCCATACAGCTTGTTGGTGTGACACATGTCTTCCACTGCTCCATACAGCTTGTTGGTGTGACACATGTCTTCCACTGCTCCATACAGCTTGTTGGTGTGACACATGTCTTCCACTGCTCCATACAGCTTGTTGGTGTGACACATGTCTTCCACTGCTCTAAACAGCTTGTTGGTGTGACACATGTCTTCCACTGCTCTAAACAGCTTTTTGGTGTGACACATATCTTCCACTGCTCTAAACAGCTTGTTGGTGTGACACATGTCTTCCACTGCTCTAAACAGCTTGGTGGTGTGACACATGTCTTCCACTGCTCCATACAGCTTGTTGGTGTGACACATGTCTTCCACTGCTCTAAACAGCTTGGTGGTGTGACACATGTCTTCTACTGTTCCATACAGCTTGGTGGTGTGACACATGTCTTCCACTGCTCCATACAGCTTGGTGGTGTGACACATGTCTTCTACTGTTCCATACAGCTTGTTGGTGTGACACATGTCTTCTACTGTTCCATACAGCTTGGTGGTGTGACACATGTCTTCCACTGTTCCGTACAGCTTGGTGGTGTGACACATGTCTTCTACTGTTCCATACAGCTTGGTGGTGTGACACATGTCTTCCACTGTTCCATACGGTTTAGTGGTGTGACACATGTCTTCCACTGTTCCATACGGTTTAGTGGTGTGACACATGTCTTCCACTGTTCCATACAGCTTGGTGGTGTGACACATGTCTTCTACTGTTCCATACAGCTTGTTGGTGTGACACATGTCTTCCACTGTTCCATACAGCTTGTTGGTGTGACACATGTCTTCCACTGTTCCATACAGCTTGGTGGTGTGACACATGTCTTCCACTGCTCCATACAGCTTGGTGGTGTGACACATGTCTTCTACTGTTCCATACAGCTTGGTGGTGTGACACATGTCTTCCACTGTTCCATACGGTTTAGTGGTGTGACACATGTCTTCCACTGCTCTAAACAGCTTGGTGGTGTGACACATGTCTTCTACTGCTCCTTACAGCTTGGTGGTGTGACACATGTCTTCTACTGCTCCTTACAGCTTGGTGGTGTGACACATGTCTTCTACTGCTCCTTACAGCTTGGTGGTGTGACACATGTCTTCTACTGCTCCATACAGTTTGGTGGTGCGACACATGTCTTCTACTGCTCCATACAGCTTGGTGGTGTGACACATGTCTTCTACTGCTCCTTACAGCTTGGTGGTGCGACACATGTCTTCCACTGTTCAATACAGCTTGGTGGTGTGACACATGTCTTCTACTGCTCCATACAGCTTGGTGGTGCGACACATGTCTTCCACTGCTCCTTACAGCTTGTTGGTGTGACACATGTCTTCTACTGCTCTAAACAGCTTGGTGGTGTGACACATGTCTTCTACTGCTCCTTACAGCTTGGTGGTGTGACACATGTCTTCTACTGCTCTAAACAGCTTGGTGGTGTGACACATGTCTTCTACTGCTCCTTACAGCTTGGTGGTGTGACACATGTCTTCTACTGCTCTAAACAGCTTGGTGGTGTGACACATGTCTTCTACTGCTCCTTACAGCTTGTTGGTGTGACACATGTCTTCCACTGCTCTAAACAGCTTGGTGGTGTGACACACGTCTTCCACTGTTCCATACAGCTTGGTGGTGTGACACATGTCTTCCACTGTTCCATACAGCTTGGTGGTGTGACACATGTCTTCCACTGTTCCATACAGCTTGGTGGTGTGACACATGTCTTCTACTGTTCCATACAGCTTGGTGGTGTGACACACGTCTTCCACTGTTCCATACAGCTTGGTGGTGTGACACATGTCTTCTACTGCTCCTTACAGCTTGGTGGTGTGACACACGTCTTCCACTGTTCCATACAGCTTGGTGGTGTGACACATGTCTTCTACTGCTCCATACAGCTTGGTGGTGTGACACACGTCTTCCACTGTTCCATACAGCTTGGTGGTGTGACACATGTCTTCCACTGTTCCATACAGCTTGGTGGTGTGACACATGTCTTCCACTGTTCCATACAGCTTGGTGGTGCGACACATGTCTTCCACTGTTCCATACAGCTTGGTGGTGTGACACATGTCTTCCACTGTTCCATACAGCTTGGTGGTGTGACACATGTCTTCCACTGTTCCATACAGCTTGGTGGTGTGACACATGTCTTCTACTGCTCCATACAGTTTGGTGGTGTGACACATGTCTTCTACTGCTCATACAGCTTGGTGGTGTACAGCTTGGCTTGGGTGTGACACATGTCTTCTACTGCTCCATACAGTTTGGTGGTGTGACACATGTCTTCTACTGCTCCATACAGCTTGGTGGTGTGACACATGTCTTCTACTGCTCTAAACAGCTTGGTGGTGTGACACACGTCTTCCACTGTTCCATACAGCTTGGTGGTGTGACACATGTCTTCTACTGCTCCATACAGCTTGGTGGTGTGACACATGTCTTCTACTGCTCCATACAGCTTGGTGGTGTGACACATGTCTTCCACTGTTCCATACAGCTTGGTGGTGTGACACATGTCTTCCACTGTTCCATACAGCTTGGTGGTGTGACACATGTCTTCCACTGTTCCATACAGCTTGGTGGTGTGACACATGTCTTCCACTGTTCCATACAGCTTGGTGGTGTGACACATGTCTTCCACTGTTCCATACAGCTTGGTGGTGTGACACATGTCTTCCACTTCCACTGTTCCATACAGCTTGGTGGTGTGACACATGTCTTCCACTGTTCCATACAGCTTGGTGGTGTGACACATGTCTTCCACTGTTCCATACAGCTTGGTGGTGTGACACATGTCTTCTACTGTTCCATACAGCTTGGTGGTGTGACACATGTCTTCTACTGCTCTAAACAGCTTGGTGGTGTGACACACGTCTTCCACTGTTCCATACAGCTTGGTGGTGTGACACATGTCTTCTACTGCTCCATACAGTTTGGTGGTGTGACACATGTCTTCTACTGCTCTAAACAGCTTGGTGGTGTGACACACGTCTTCCACTGTTCCATACAGCTTGGTGGTGTGACACATGTCTTCTACTGCTCCATACAGTTTGGTGGTGTGACACATGTCTTCTACTGCTCCATACAGCTTGGTGGTGTGACACATGTCTTCTACTGTTCCATACAGCTTGGTGGTGTGACACATGTCTTCCACTGCTCCATACAGCTTGGTGGTGTGACACATGTCTTCCACTGTTCCATACAGCTTGGTGGTGTGACACATGTCTTCCACTGTTCCATACAGCTTGTTGGTGTGACACATGTCTTCCACTGCTCCATACAGCTTGGTGGTGTGACACATGTCTTCCACTGTTCCATACGGTTTAGTGGTGTGACACATGTCTTCCACTGTTCCATACGGTTTAGTGGTGTGACACATGTCTTCCACTGTTCCATACGGTTTAGTGGTGTGACACATGTCTTCCACTGTTCCATACGGTTTAGTGGTGTGACACATGTCTTCCACTGTTCCATACGGTTTAGTGGTGTGACACATGTCTTCCACTGCTCCATACAGCTTGGTGGTGTGACACATGTCTTCCACTGTTCAATACAGCTTGGTGGTGCGACACATGTCTTCCACTGCTCTAAACAGCTTGGTGGTGAGACACATGTCTTCCACTGTTCAATACAGATTGGTTTTCATTAGAATGCCAACTGGGATCTCTCTACTGCAGTATGTGCTCACTATTCTGTGGTGCCTGTCAACATGAGAGTAAAGTTCTGAATCCCCAACCTTAAATTTTTGTGTACATATGGCCATACAGAGTCTGCTGTTTATTAGTTAAGTTTAGTCTGCTGCTTAATGACTTGATAGCCGGTGTCAATGGAAAAATCCCTGCCTCTAAGGAGATTCGAACACATGATTACAGGGCCAGCTAGTAAACATTCAGGCAACTAAGAGTGTTGCCATTTATTGCAATTCTCTATCTGTCCATACTCAAAGATACAACAAAAGGTTTATTTGAAACTAACATCTCAACTGTTGCAGACATTCAGAAAATGTTGCACAGAAAAATAAGTACAGAGGTTCTGGACAGAACGAGATTGAAAAGAAATAACAAAGAAACAAGTGGAAACTACTGGGCACATTCTGCCTTGGAAATATACTTCTTTCTTACCCAATAGCGTAAACATCCGGCAACTGGGTCTCATGCAGAGACAACAGGTAGTCCAGGTGTGACGGCGGACTCGATCCATGAACATTCCAAGTCACTAGGTAGATCCTAGAACAAAAAACATATGTGATAGATGACAATTACCTGACTGGGTTACCTTAATATCTCACCCTCTTCCCCCACCTCCTGTTTTAAACAACACACACAAGCTAGCAACATTCCAGACTCAAATTGAGGGCTTTGAGAGAAATAGGGATCACATTTATGTCGTTATAAGGGCCACAAATGACAACTAATTTAAGCTGTTTCTTTATTTATTAATGTTTTTTTTTTCAAATCCAGAAACCATTAGTTGTAAACCTTTGGCTCAGTACTATGGATATCGCAACCCTTTGGCTTAGTACTATGGATATCGCAACCCTTTGGCTCAGTACTATGGATATCGCAACCCTTTGGCTTAGTACTATGGATATCGCAACCCTTCGGCTCAGTACTATTGATATCGCAACCCTTCGGCCCTGACACCATGATAGGTATCGTAAATCTGTGAAATATGTGGCTTTTCTGCCCACCCCAGAGCGTTAACTAGAATCACCAGGAGTTTGTCACCAGGTTGCTGCGCAGCTGGTTTAACCTACTTATCTAGCGCCGAGCAGGCCATTTATTAAAAACGTTTCCGGAATATTTGTATTGCCGGCGGCATGTATGCTTGCATATTTTATATGCTTTCTCTAGATACCTGGTTGGAGCATGCTAAACCCCTGCTGGTTGGGGGTTGCGGGGGGGGGGGGGGGGGGGGGCACCTAAACAATCCTAGTCTACCCCCTCCTCCCCCCCAGGTCCTTATCTGCTGTGCTAAATCATGCTCTGGCTACATCCCAATATATCTCTCCATGAATGTTCAATCAGTCTGCAAGAAGCTATACATTTCTTACAAAGGAACAAAAACATGCAAATAAGTGAAGTGTATCTCTCAGTGCAGTGTATCTCTCAGTGCAGTGTATCTCTCAGTTCAGTGTATCTCTCAGTGCAGTGTATCTCTCAGTGCAGTGTATCTCTCAGTGCAGTGTATCTTTCAGTGCAGTGTATCTCTCAGTTCAGTGTATCTCTCAGTTCAGTGTATCTCTCAGTTCAGTGTATCTCTCAGTTCAGATGTAGATGTGATCTCAACATACCTCAGAGTGTTGTCAATTCTCCTACATTTATGGTAGCCATAATAATAACCAATGTAATTTAAATGATACACAGTAACCTGTCTTCCAACAATTTATTACCACTGTTAAAACTGGTGAACATAAACATGACCTCAGAGAAAACTTATCATGTGTGAGATGAAATGAGACAGTTGAGGTTGAGTTTACCAGCCAATGACTGCTGCCTGGCCATGCCAGTGAAAATTAAATAAAATGATATTCACTGTATCATTCAAAAACTAGGGAACATGCAATTAATCAGAGAAAATCCATAAACATGCACGGGCAGTAAATGCATAAGGCAGATGTTAGAGGTGCCAACATCCACATTCGTCCCCAGAACTGCAACTTTTTTTTCTTCATGTAACTGGTCAGTCACAATAAGGTAGCCATACACACACAATACTAACGTATAAGGTAGCCATACACACACAATACTAACGTATAAGGTAGCCATACACACACAATACTAACGTATAAGGTAGCCATACACACACAATACTAACGTATAAGGTAGCCATACACACACAATACTAACGTATAAGGTAGCCATACACACACAATACTAACGTATAAGGCAGCCATACACACACAATACTAACGTATAAGGCAGCCATACACACACAATAATAACGTATAAGGCAGCCATATACACACAATACTAACGTATAAGGTAGCCATACACACACAATACTAACGTATAAGGTAGCCATACACACACAATACTAACGTATAAGGTAGCCATACACACACAATACTAACGTATAAGGCAGCCATACACACACAATACTAATGTATAAGGCAGCCATACACACACAATACTAACGTATAAGGTAGCCATACACACACAATACTAACGTATAAGGTAGCCATACACACACAATACTAACGTATAAGGTAGCCATACACACACAATACTAACGTATAAGGCAGCCATACACACACAATACTAACGTATAAGGCAGCCATACACACACAATACTAACGTATAAGGTAGCCATACACACACAATACTAACGTATAAGGTAGCCATACACACACAATACTAACGTATAAGGTAGCCATACACACACAATACTAACGTATAAGGTAGCCATACACACACAATACTAACGTATAAGGCAGCCATACACACACAATACTAACGTATAAGGCAGCCATACACACACAATACTAACGTATAAGGCAGCCATACACACACAATACTAACGTATAAGGTAGCCATACACACACAATACTAACGTATAAGGCAGCCATACACACACAATACTAACGTATAAGGCAGCCATACACACACAATACTAACGTATAAGGTAGCCATACACACACAATACTAACGTATAAGGTAGCCATACACACACAATACTAACGTATAAGGTAGCCATACACACACAATACTAACGTATAAGGTAGCCATACACACACAATACTAACGTATAAGGTAGCCATACACACACAATACTAACGTATAAGGCAGCCATACACACACAATACTAACGTATAAGGCAGCCATACACACACAATACTAACGTATAAGGTAGCCATACACACACAATACTAACGTATAAGGTAGCCATACACACACAATACTAACGTATAAGGTAGCCATACACACACAATACTAACGTATAAGGCAGCCATACACACACAATACTAACGTATAAGGTAGCCATACACACACAATACTAACGTATAAGGTAGCCATACACACACAATACTAACGTATAAGGCAGCCATACACACACAATACTAACGTATAAGGCAGCCATACACACACAATACTAATGCCAGCTACTAGCCAGCTGAATGCAAACCAGCAACCAGCCATTTTCTTAATATCACAACTCAAACCACTACAAGCACAGATGAAAGGCATTCCTCAGGAAATATGCAACAACAGAGAAGAGTTACAGCAATAACAAAATCTAGCTATGGAATCAAACAGCAATGCAGAGACATAAACAGTGAGCAGCCTACTCTAAAAGCCAGGGTAAAAAAGTAGCTGACTCTTTGGAACTCTTGCAAAAGGAACCTTAGGTGCACCCTTTTCTGGACAATATGAACACTCAATTCAAACAGTAACACAAAAGCAAATGCAGAACAGAAAAATAATGCAAGTGCAAAATAAAACTGCAGCTTTACTTTAACCCACCTTTTCTGAGCCACCTTTCCTTGAAGTGGAAAACTCTGTGAATTGATTTCTATTCTATTTACACATAATCCCAGAAATCTGCAAAGTCAGGGGTAACCACTCTATTATTATCATTTCAAAATGGCTGTTGTCGTGAAGTGGTGGGTATCAGCAGTCTTCTACACTCTATCCTATGGGAAACCCTCTGCATCCGATGATGTTGGGAATTCCTCTACATCCCATGAGGTTGGGAATTCCTCTGCATCCCATGATGTTGGGAATTCCTCTACATCCCATGAGGTTGGGAATTCCTCTACATCCCATGAGGTTGGGAATTCCTCTACATCCCATGAGGTTGGGAATTCCTCTACATCCAATGAGGTTGGGAATTCCTCTACATCCCATGAAGTTGGGAATTCCTCTACATCCCATGAGGTTGGGAATTCCTCTGCATCCCATGAGGTTGGGAATTCCTCTACATCCCACCATGTTGGGAATTCCTCTACATCCCACCATGTTGGGAATTCCTCTACATCCCACCATGTTGGGAATTCCTCTACATCCGATGTTGGGAATTCCTCTACATCCGATGAGGCTGGGAATTCCTCTACATCCCATGAGGTTGGGAATTCCTCTACATCCGATGATGTTGGGAATTCCTCTACATCCCACCATGTTGAGAATTCCTCTACATCCCACCATGTTGGGAATTCCTCTACATCCCACCATGTTGGGAATTCCTCTACATCCCACCATGTTGGGAATTCCTCTACATCCCATGAGGCTGGGAATTCCTCTACATCCCATGAGGTTGGGAATTCCTCTACATCCCACCATGTTGGGAATTCCTCTACATCCCACCATGTTGGGAATTCCTCTACATCCCATTATGTTGGGAATTCCTCTACATCCCACCATGTTGGGAATTCCTCTACATCCCACCATGTTGGGAATTCCTCTACATCCCATGAGGTTGGGAATTCCTCTACATCCCATTATGTTGGGAATTCCTCTACATCCCATGAGGTTGGGAATTCCTCTACATCCCATGAGGCTGGGAATTCCTCTACATCCCATGAGGTTAGGAATTCCTCTACATCCCACCATGTTGGGAATTCCTCTACATCCCACCATGTTGGGAATTCCTCTACATCCCACCATGTTGGGAATTCCTCTACATCCCATGATGTTGAGAATTCCTCTACATCCCACCATGTTGGGAATTCCTCTACATCCCATGATGTTGGGAATTCCTCTACATCCCATGAGGTTGGGAATTCCTCTACATCCCATGATATTGGGAATTCCTCTACATCCCATGAGGCTGGGAATTCCTCTACATCCCATGAGGTTGGGAATTCCTCTACATCCTATGATGTTGGGAATTCCTCTACATGCCATGAGGTTGGGAATCCCTCTACATCCCACCATGTTGGGAATTCCTCTACATCCCATGATGTCGGGAATTCCTCTACATCCCGTGAGGTTGGGAATTCCTCTACCTCCCATGAGGTTGGGAATTACTCTACATTCCATGATGTTGGGAGTTACTCTACATCCCACCATGTTGGGAATTCCTCTACCTCCCATGAGGTTGGGAATTCCTCTACATCCCATGATGTTGGGAGTTACTCTACATCCCACCATGTTGGGAATTCCTCTACATCTAATGATGTTGGAAGTTATCTACATCCCATGATGGTGGGAATTCCCCTATAACCAATGATGCAGGGGAAGAATGTCCAGTGATATGCAGTCACTATGGTATGCTGTGAGAAGTGTCACCCAGGACAGGTTCACGCAGCTCACTATCACAATTCAAGGGATAACGGATTGTGAGCCACCATGGCTAGAGATGCAGCCAGGGTTCAGGAGCTGTGTTAGTGCAGCTGTCAGCATGCTAACCTGCCTTCCCCATAGTCATGAGTTCAAATCACATTTCAGTGATTACCAACACAGACCCCCACAGAATCCCTATTGAAGCAAGTTTGTAATGTATCTCAGCTGCAAGTCTACCTATTCTAAACATGGATGCCAGCAAGCAATGTGTGAAGTGAAAGACAGATGGTGTGAAAGTGACAATATTACTCAGAGAGCACTGACTAGTCAATTACCTTACTTTTATTCAGACATGTACTCAACACAAATGAACTCTCCAGAATTTTCTGGTACCAATTTTAGGCTGGGGTGACTTGGCAGTCTAGGTCAATGACCAGTCAGGACCACTAGATACTTATGCTAGACACTGAACTACTAGAGCTTCTACGTCAACCATTATGTCCAAATAAACAGTGGTGACAGACACATGAGAACATTGAACTACTACAGGTTACACATCAACCATTATGTCCAAATAAACAGTGGTGACAGACACATGAGAACACTGAACTGCTACAGCTTACACATCAACCATTATGTCCAAATAAACAGTGGTGAGAGATACATGAGAACACTGAACTACAACAGCTATCACATCAACCATTATGTCCAAATAAACAGTGGTGAGAGATACATGAGAACAGTGAACTACTACAGCTTCCATGTCAACCATTATGTCCAAATAAACAGTGGTGACAGACACATGAGAACATTGAACTACTACAGCTTACACATCAACCATTATGTCCAAATAAACAGTGGTGAGAGACACATGAGAACACTGAACTACTACAGCTATCACATCAACCATTATGTCCAAATAAACAGTGGTGAGAGATACATGAGAACAGTGAACTACTACAGGTTTCATGTCAACCATTATGTCCAAATAAACAGTGGTGACAGACACATGAGAACATTGAACTACTACAGCTTACACATCAACCATTATGTCCAAATAAACAGTGGTGAGAGACACATGAGAACACTGAACTACTACAGCTATCACATCAACCATTATGTCCAAATAAACAATGGTGAAAGACACATGAGAACACTGAACTACTACAGCTTTCATGTCAACCATTATGTCCAAATAAACAGTGGTGACAGACACATGAGAACACTGAACTACTACAGGTTACACATCAACCATTATGTCCAAATAAACAGTGGTGACAGACACATGAGAACACTGAACTACTACAGGTTACACATCAACCATTATGTCCAAATAAACAGTGGTGACAGACACATGAGAACACTGAACTACTACAGGTTACACATCAACCATTATGTCCAAATAAACAGTGGTGACAGACACATGAGAACACTGAACTACTACAGGTTACACATCAACCATTATGTCCAAATAAACAGTGGTGACAGACACATGAGAACACTGAACTACTACAGGTTACACATCAACCATTATGTCCAAATAAACAGTGGTGAGAGACACATGAGAACACTGAACTACTACAGCTATCACATCAACCATTATGTCCAAATAAACAGTGGTGACAGACACATGAGAACACTGAACTACTACAGCTTTCATGTCAACCATTATGTCCAAATAAACAGTGGTGACAGACACATGAGAACACTGAACTACTACAGCTTTCATGTCAACTATTATGTCCAAATAAACAGTGGTGAGAGAAATAAACAAATAAACCCTGGACAAATGTGAAAAGTGGAAGTTATAAATTATAAAATGGCTGGGATTAAAAAAAGAATATCCAATCCAATGACACATCAAAAATTCTTTGAGACTTTGTCTCCTTCTTTTTGCTCTGTGTTCAACATTAAAAGAACATTTGGCAAGCAGTGCTACTGGTTTACACCTTGACTGCACTATCTGCACTTTTCTGCCCAACACATCCAACTGCAGCAAATTCTTAACTAGTCGTCTTTTACAACATGCCTTTTTAGGGGCAGTGGATCTATTCTGATTCTGTTCCACCAAAACTGAGCCCACAAACCCACATGAAGATAATGAAAGAGACTGGCAGGTGCTGCGTTAATTGAAGATGGATGGCCTATGGATCACGCAGATATTGTCATTGCTCTTAGAGAGAGGACGTTCTGAGGATTTCTGGAAGCAACGTGTCCACATCACTACTAAGAATACGAGAACTGGTAGTTAAGATCAGCTTAGCCAAGCATGAGGAGCACACTGGATGCACTCAAAGTCTTGTTAACCAACATAGGACTGGCACTATTAACCGTGTGACGCTGATGAATATGTTGAGAGGGGAATCAGAGCACCTATAGATATGTCTGGAGTGCTGTGAAGATAACCTAGCTCATAACTAATGACTCAACTCACATGAGAAATTCTTTGAGAAAAAAAAAAACCCAGCTACAAGCTGCAGCAGTATGAAAAAAATTAAAACAAAATCGACTGTTTTACTTACTGCGATGTTACTGCAGATACTACATTGCTAACTTGATTCCATGAAGCCATTTTTTGTCCAAGTAAAAAAACTATAATTTGTGCAATCAACTGAGAGTAAAATTCACAGCCAGTCAACAGTAGCTGGGACTAGCTGACGTCTGCTAATGAAGTGCTTCAGCTTTTGAGCCTTGGTATCATCTGAAATAGAAATCGTTTCACAAAATTCAACAAAGCCATTGTTTTCAAAGTTCAGTGGCTTTTTTATTAGACACAGAGACATTGTTAACCTAATGAACACAGTCAATATAATTAGATTTTGTAAATGTTCTTAATCTTGTCTCATGGCTTTGACATAATCTTGTCTCATGGCTTTGACATAATCTTGTCTCATGGCTTTGACATAATCTTGTCTCATGGCTTTGACATAATCTTGTCTCATGGCTTTGACATAATCTTGTCTCATGGCTTTGACATAATCTTGTCTCATGGCTTTGACAAGAAACATACTGGATATTTGAAAAGTCAGAAAGAAAGAAGAGAAATGCTATGTCATCATGTCACAACTGTTCTGCTGTATGACAGTGAATTCTGTAATGTAAATGAACAAATTAGGAAAAGCCTGGAGACAACAGAAATGTAGTTTCTGAGATGAATGTTGTGAATAACTTGACAATAAAAATTAATGAATGCCAGAATAGAAGGAATTAAACATGAGAGGAGTCATTAGATAAATAATATTTTCACAAGTGGCCGGAACAAAATTGTTTTGTGTCCTATTTCTTTACATAGTCTGCCTGGCATGCAACACTTGAGTCCACTGATGCACAGGATTGTAGATGCACAGGTTTGTAGATGCACAGGATTATAGATGTACAGGATTGTAGATGCACAGGATTATAGATGTACAGGATTGTAGATGCACAGGATTATAGATGTACAGGATTGTAGATGCACAGGATTGTAGATGCACAGGATTGTAGATGCACAGGATTGTAGATGCCCGCCACGAGGATTTTGGGTGTGGCCAGTAACCAAGTGTGCACCACTGTTATCTCCTTGTCATCTGCAAATCTCGGACCCAACAAATGTTGTTTCGATGGAACAGACAAATAAAAGTGATGGTGCCAAGTCTGGGCTGCATGCTGGATGTTACAATACTTCAAACCACAGTCTCTAGTATATTATTTACTGTACATGCCAAATGGGGACATGCAGTAACAAAACTCCTTTTGAGACAAGACCCTTGTTTTGTTATATCAGATCTTGATTATTTGTATGCAGACTGTTGGTTCCTTGTCTCTCAGGAAGATGCAATTCAAGTCTGAAGGAAACACCCTGAATTAGTGTCTCCGATGACATGCCAGTTAGGATGGCAGTGGGTATATTTTCTGTTATAAAAAATAGAGCCTCAGAACCTGGATGGGGAAGCAAATGTTATAACTGTAGGTTAGAGACTGCTAGGAGATCTAATGTGAGGAAATAGTTTTGTGTGGATTTTCCTTTTGTAACCTCAGTCAGAAGGCAGGAGTGTAGTCTCTATGGCAGGAGTGTAGTCTCTATGGCAGGAGTGTAGTCTCTATGGCAGTAGTGTAGTCTTTATGGCAGGAGTGTAGTCTTTATGGCAGGAGTGTAGTCTTTATGGCAGGAGTGTAGTCTTTATGGCAGGAGTGTAGTCTCTATGGCAGGAGTGTAGCCTCTATGGCAGGAGTGTAGTCTCTATGGCAGGAGTGTAGTCTTTATGGCAGCAGTGTAGTCTCTATGGCAGGAGTGTAGTCTCTATGGCAGAAGTGTAGTCTCTATGGCAGGAGTGTAGTCTCTATGGCAGGAGTGTAGTCTTTATGGCAGTAGTGTAGTCTCTATGGCAGGAGTGTAGTCTTTATGGCAGGAGTGTAGTCTTTATGGCAGGAGTGTAGTCTCTATGGCAGTAGTGTAGTCTCTATGGCAGGAGTGTAGTCTCTATGGCAGGAGTGTAGTCTCTATGGCAGGAGTGTAGTCTCTATGGCAGGAGTGTAGTCTCTATGGCAGGGTTATTCAACTAAGTTTACTCAGGAGCCGATATTTTGAAAACGGGGATCATCACAAGCCACAACATAGAAAGGTTATCAATATAATATAGCTGGTACTGATCCACAAGCCAATTGCTAGGCCTCTGCGGCCTAGATATGGCCCTGTGACAGCTAGCCGAATAGCCCAAATATCTGGTCTACCTATGGGGGCCACGTGGTCTCGAGGCATGGCATCCGACTCGAGTACTGGTAGTTCCTGGTTCAGGCTGGAATTTTCCCACCTGGACTTCTAGTAATTTCTCCTGGTCTAATACACTAATATGTATTTATGCGGACATAAAAAAGTTCGTTGGCAACTGGAAAATAAAAAGAGTGGCGGCACTGCCCGGGCAAAATTTGGAGTTAAAGTTCTACCCAAAGTAATACTTTAAGTATTGCAGGATCCTTGCCGGTGATACGGAGTTCGTGCACTGCGCTGAGATTATTCTGACTCAGGCTTCAGTCATAAGTAGAGCGGAGCACTTACGAGTTACCCCTTGTTCTGTGATGTTGATCCGTCGTGTAAACAGTATATGGTCTACTAACGGTCTAGTCAAACCAGCCTCTTCTAAATCCTATTATATTTCCTTGACTTTCGATTATATATAATTCTGGTCTGGTAACTGGTAATCCTAGTTTCAGCTTCATAGCAAACGGGTCACCCCACACATGCTCCGCTCCTGTGCCAACGAAAAACAAACGCAGCTCACAGTGTCACGCCATGCACTCAACTCAGAAGCTGGGCGACGAAACTACATCCTTCCAGTCTACAAATGGAGCAAAAATGCAACGGCCACCGTCTGGAAAAATAATTGCCACGGCTTTAAAAAAAAAAAAAAAGAAAAAGAAAAAGGTGGCCGTACCTAGCGTCCATTTTGACTGGAAGAATTATATGAGGGTTAATAAACGGTCACCCCAGCAGTACCCTCATTATTAGCTGGGGAAGGGACTTAGGACATTACATCCACCAGCAGGCGTCACCCCTACAACGACCTGCCTGCCCTCGTTAACGACTGTTCACCCAACAGCCATGCAGTTCTTTGGCACGAAGGAGACACCTTGAACTTGGGTTTCGTACTGCCGACTCCCTACTAAGATGTTATTTTATGTTCTGTTATCACAATTAATGTCACTGCACATTGGGCATACCCATGCGTGCTCAGTTCTCCGAAGCAGCAGCCACTCCAAAGCACTTCTACTAATTGTCCCCATGAGAAGCTGGTTATATTGTCTCCTTTCTCGGCCTCGAAGACGGCAAAGACGTGCATCACCATGCTTAACTCCCATATCACGCAATCGTGTTAGTGTCAGGGATTCCTCATTCTCCACTAGCCCGGTTCGTACAGCGTTGACTATGTCTGCTCTGTCCATACTTTTTCCTGCAATCATTAGTGCAGTGCTTGCCAGTTTGTCTGCTCGTTCATTTCCCTTCACGCCCGCATGACCCGGTGTGTAGATCCAGGTTACGGAGGTTAAGTGCGATTTCCTGATGTTTTCTATCCATTCAGAGCGCATGCTGCCTGTTGCTATCTTCTGAAGCATATTCATTGAGTCTGAGACAATTACTACCTGTGTGGCGGTTTGCTCGGATACCCATGCTAAAGCTCTAGAAGCAGCAGCTATTTCCATTGTCATGCTTGATGTGGTTGTCTGGTATTATAAACAACAGTGCAATGGTTGGATTGCAGCTGAATTTGAGCTAGTGTTTTCACTTTTTATAACCATGTCTATTTGGTAAACGGCAGTAGAAAGAAAAAAAAAGAATGAACATACTTTTATCTTTCAGTAGAGATGCAGTAACAATGAAATGGTTACATGAACAACTCTAACAAAGTCAAGTCAAGTCTCCGGTCTCTGATGCCCAAGTCTTGGAGCTTGGAACTCAGGAAATCCCGTTTGTAGCACACAGCTCACTTGCCGGGTAAGCCTTTACAAAATGTTGGGGAACAGGAAGACACAACAACAAATTTAACAACACCCATTCTTGCCAATTTTTTTAAGCGGCGTCAGGAGAGGAAGAGATCTCTAGAATGGGCCGTTCTGTTCGCTTCGTGTATAGTAGTTTTCAGTGTCTCATATTTCTGCTGTCCATGATCTGCATGGTTGTCCTCTGGGTCTGTTACCATTGGATCTGTATAACATTGCTCTCTGTGGTGCCATGTCTGCTGTTTTATATGTGTGTGTGGGTTCGCGCGCGCGCGCCTCAGTGCAATTGCGAAATGATAAGTGCACGTACATACCAACCGTCACTACTGTTAAGACCCGTAAAGCACACAGATGATCGCAAAGACACAAATCATGTACATAATATTCACGCCACCAGTTACCAGTGCCAGAAATTCTACATTATCAAAAGCTCACATAGTGAAACAAAAAGCTGTGAGCTGAAATATCCGAGCAAAGTACCAGCGAAACCATCCGAGACATGGTACCTGCCCCCAGACTGTAGGAATAACACTGTGGATCAGATCCATTGTCACAGAAGATCAAGTGGTTTTGTCATACAACCAAAACAGCTACCAATAAGAGGCCCGCCAACATAGGAGATCAAGTTAATTTATAACGGTAGAGTGCCCTAAAATAACTGTGCTATACGGTTAACGAGTTTTATGGATTTACTTCTGTCAGATCAGATCACATCCGAATCGTGACTTTTTAGGGCACTATCTGTAAATCTCCAGTGTGCTATCCTGGAGTGAGGGAAGCAACGCAGAAGCTATCCCACGGACGACTCTGTTTATAAAAAAGCTCCAGAAGGGGGTGGCTAGCCCTACAAAATCAGATGTGAGCGCTAAAGGGTGCCAAGAATTATGTGGTTGATGGAATTTTACTATTTGAGATATTGTACATTCATGATGCAGAAATTGAAGTTCATCATGATGATGATGGCGGTAGCGATTGTGATGATGAAGATGTTGATGATTGTAATTAAGATGGTGGTAAAGAATAATAATAATAATCATACTGATAAGAATCAAGGAAAAGAAGAAAAAAAAGAGATAATGATAATGATGCTGATGATCGATATGCCTGACTTGCGTTTTCACCGAGCTCCTGGCACAGCTGCTGTAGTCGCGGGCAAGTAGGTCCCTCCCTAAACAATGATCACTGGCTTGTCACACACAATGATCACTCCCTGGCTCCAGACGGACAGACTGGCGGCTGCTAGAGAAGGAGAGACTAGCTCAGATTTTCCCACTTTGTACGCACTTATTTTCGTCCTAGACCAGGTAGAAAACGTGATGCTACGTCAATAATACATTATATATCTAAAATCAGAATAGCCGAATATCGTCACATCATCTACACAACCGTACCAATTTTACCGTTCTCTACCTGATTGCTGATTCAGTGATTTGATTCAGCCTGTGGTAATTATAAAACATCGAACTGAGTTCAAAGCCTGATTTGTAAAATTGTTTTAAGGAAAGACCACGACAGCAACAAGTGCCAGGCGTAAGTACTGAATATTATTATTCTGTGTTGCCGTATATAAAACCATTTATATACTTTACAGTCTTAAACAATTTTTGGCTCTACTGGCAAATCCGGACGAAGAATAAACAGCCTTGGACGACTTAGTGAGAGTTCTCTCCCGTCGCCGCACTCCAAACAGTGATCGGAAAATCCACAACGAAACAAAGAAGACAGTCACGTCGACATCAGGGCTGCCAATGCTTGGTTGTTTCCCCCAGATCTGGGTTTTTTCGACGCTGCAGGACAATTCTGGGTGTGTTTTTTTTTGTGTGGGTGTGTTTTGTTTGTTGGTGTTTGCCGATTTGTATGCTTTAATGATCGATAAATTTGCGTGGTTAGGGGGGTTAGGGTTAGGATTAGGGTTAGCGGTAGGGTTAGGATTAGCGTTAGATTTGACAATTTTGACGCCGGAGTTCCCTATAATCGCGCACAGTCCCATACACACAAACAAACAATCGAGGGCCTCTGGATGCTGGTCACACGCACAATTCGCCAACGATTGGGGGCACCAGCCGCACGCTATTGGCGTCATATTTGGCAGAGTTTCAGTGGCGCCACTCCCACAAACATCATATTGTCGGCCAGTATTTCGAAATCCTACGTCAAAATTGTCACATCTAACCCTAACCCTAACCCTAACCCTACCCCTACCCCTAACCCTAACTCTACCCCTAACTCTAATCCAACAACCGCATGATGATGACTACACAACCATTCACAATGCCTCACGCAACTGTGCACGCAACCATATGATGATGCCACAATGTCTCACGCAACCGTACGCAGCCCTACACGCAACCGCAGGATGATAGGTAAGTTTGTCGTTTGTTTCGTTTGTTTTCCGATTACTGTTCGGAGTGCGGCGACGGGAGATAACTCTGACTAAGTCGTCCAAGTCTGTTTATTCTTCGTCCGGATTTGCCAGTAGAGCCCAATTTTTAAATCGTCCGTCCTGGACTTAGGTGTACGTACACACAAATTATTATTTGATTGATGGTTGGGCTCTCCTCCGAACGGCATCATAATATGGCCATAAAATATCCAAAAATATCAGAATGGGGCTCAGTTATATTAAAAATATGCCGGCTCCATATAACAAAACATGCTCTAACAGGGTCTCAGCGATATGTTACTTGTGGACCTGTTTCTGTGACTATGCTTCACCGCCGAGGGTATCCCCCGCGCCGTTATGCACGGTGCGGATATGGGCTAAACTAGATGGCTGGGACTCACGAGCGGCAGCTACCGCATCTCCTGCAACTTCCTCCAATTACTTTGCTCGTGAGTCCCAGGCACCTAGTTTAGCGCCCCCCCCCCCCCCCCATCCGCACCGCGCGTAGTGGCGCGGGTCATATGCTCGGCGATGAGTTTAATCACGTTTTGCGCATGGCGACAAGTCTGACATCTACTGCTGCTAAATCCTCAATCGGAGGAACAGTATTGCTAATCGCTTTCATTGTCTGTAATCTCTCGAAATATTGTCAGCTAGTATCGTCTGCAGAAACGCTCAAAATTGTCAACGGTCGGTATTTATCGTCTGCAACTACCGTGTGCAATGTTGATATTGTCAAGTAATCCTAGTTTTGCCACGATTTGTTTCTTGGCAGAAAGTCTGTATTTTAGATATGCCTGAACACTGTTTGGATATTTTTGGATATTTTATGGCCAGAATGTCTCTCCTCCGAACGGCATCATGTTATGGCCGCCATATTATGATGCCGTTCGGAGGAGAGCCTATGGTTGAATTAGTTTGAAAACATGATACACTTTAGTCTTTACATGGAATGATTGATAAGTCAGAAATATCTTAGAAATAGTATATTTTAAAGGGTAGTTTCAGCGGCAGAACAGCCATTGTGGGAGGTAGAGGGTTGTTTTGGTTTCTTTTGTAAGTGATAACTAGACTAAATGGTTTAGCAATATAATAAGGATCAATCAGTGCAAGATGAAATACTAGAGGTAATTCAACAAAGAAATGGTAACATCAGAATGTTGTTTGATGACTTAAATGCCAGGATAATTTAGGATAACAAGAGTGAAGAGTCATTGACATATTCAGAATTATAAAAAAAATTGTTTGCAATGTTTTTGCAACCTAAAAATATGACAAATAATGTGGATATCTCAATTTGCTTACGTGCAGTATAGATTTTGGGGCTCTCCTCCGAACGGCGTCATAATATTATGGCGGCCATAAAATATCCAAAAATATCCTTACGGGGCTCAGGCATATGTAAAATGCGGACTTTCTGCCAAGGAACAAATCGCGGCAAAACTAGGATTACTTGACAATTTCAACGCAACATTGCAGACGATACTAGCAGATTATAATAGCGACCGTTGACAATGTCGAGACATTACAGATGATGAAAGCGATATGGCGGGTAAACCACCCGCTCCCATGCAGATTAGCAATACTGTTCTTCCGATTGAGGATTTAGCAGCGGTAGATGTCAGACCTGCCGACCTGTACCGATAAACTGGTACGGCATGCGCAAAACGCGATTCAACTCACCGCCGAGCGTATCCCGCACGCCTCGTGCCTCACCGCCGACCGTATTCCTTGCGCCGCTGCGCGCGGCGCGGGTGGGGGGCTAAACTAGATGCCTAGGACTCACGAGCAAATTAATTGGAGGACGTTGCAGGAGATGTGGTAGCTGCTGCTTGTGAGTCCCAGCCATCTAGTTTAGCCCCCATCCGCGCCATGCGAAGCGGCGCGGGGAATACGGGTGGCGGTGAGGCACAGTCACAGAAACAGGTCCGCAAGTAACATATTGCTGAGACCCTGTTAGAGCATTTGTTTCGTAATACAGAGCCGGCATATTTTTAATAGAACTGAGCAATGTAAGGATATTTTTGGATATTGTATGGCCGCCATAATATTATGACGCCATTCGGAGGAGAGCCGATTTTGGCTATCCTCCCAATAACGGTCCCAAATTATCGAGGCCGAAAACGTACCCTAACAGGGCCTCAGTCACATGTAAATTGTGGACCTCTTTCCGGGACTACACAGCATACCACAGAAAAGCTTTCGCTGAGTTAAAGTCACTGCCGAGAGTTTCCCGCGGTGCGGGACTAAACTAGATGGCTGGAACTCACGAGCAGCAGCTACCGCATCTCCTGCAGCTTCCTCCATTTTATTTGCTTGAGTCCCAGCCATCTAGTTTAGCCCCACTCTGCTCCGCGTGGTAGATACTCTCAGCGGTGGCGGTATAGTTGCGGAAAGAGGTCTGCAATTTACATGTGACTGAGGCCCTGTTAGGGTATATTTTCGGCCTCGATAATTTGGGGCCGTTATTCAGAGGATAGCCTATATTTTGTATGTTGATTAAGAGGTCAGTCGTTTAGAAAGTGTCCAGTCATTTATCTTGAGATTTGTAATGGCGTTTGCTGATCAAGAGTTTCATACTCACTACATGGACATTCCAGAAAGTTTATGAAACATTTTTTTTAAAATAAACACATTTTTTTCTTTGCCTAAATGATTGATTTATGTGTTTCAGTCACCAGTTTAGTTTCATTAAAACCTTACCATTGAATTCTGCCCTTAACCGACATTCAGTGTAAAATTTCAGCATTTGTAAAATTTATTACAAATTAATTTTAACAGTTTATGATCTTTGTAAGCTGTTTCAATTGTTTTCTTTTTTTATTCTCTCATTCCTAAAGGTTCAGCTTTCCAATATGTCTAAAGACAAGACCACCAGACAGGAAACAAGACAGGACATGTATAAGAACAACAGCAGAAGTCCTTGCTGGAAGCAACAATTTAGAATGGTATTTTATGAAATAATAATAATAATCTAAATATAAATATGTGAAAGCTGAACATATAACCAGAAAATATCATCACATATTTGTGTGTGAGTTTAAAAGGCTTTTTGAGCTGAATTGTTCTTTAAAACATTCTCAGAATATCATGGACCAAGAAAAAGAGAAACACAAACATACAAAAAGATCTGACTAGCTAGTGAACAGTATCTTGTCTCAGAAACTGAAATATTTTGGCCATATCAAGCACTACGGCAGATTGGACTGAAGAACATCACAAGGCATGGTACCAGGAGAGGGGCAGGGGCTGACCAGCACAAAGATGGGCACACGATGTGACATCTTAGGTAGGAAAGCGCATGAGTTGGGAGAGCTGATGAGAGGCTCAGTTTCTTTCAGGCAGACGGGGATGAGAGCGACATTCTGCAAGGAACCTGCTACATGATGATTTTACATGTTTAGTTGTGAATAAGCTCATACTGTAGAGTAACTGAAGTCTCAGCTTCCATAAGAACAATTCATTGTTGTCTGGCTGTAGATGGCTTGAATCTGTTTGAGTGAGGCTTGTGTAGAGAATTTTCTCCCAAGCTGATGCCAAAGTTTCATCTCCACAACCTATTGGAGAATTACCTTAGTTAACTATTAGGTTTTGTGTTTTAAATAATGGTTAGATAATCACATGAGGAAGACTTGTTTTGTTACTTCTATAAGTCAAATAATGTTTAAATAATAACAAGTTTTGTTACTTTTGTGTGGTATGTTTAAAGTGATCCATATAGTCTCCTAGCAGACGTCATTAGTGATACATTATACAGGTTCATCTTCTTGATCCCTGTATTGTGGCCAGGTGGACCCCTGTATTGTGGCCAGGTCGACCCCTGTATTGTGGCCAGGTGGACCCCTGTATTGTGGCCAGGTCGACCCCTGTATTGTGGCCAGGTCGACCCCTGTATTGTGGCCAGGTCGACCCCTGTATTGTGGCCAGGTCGACCCCTGTATTGTGGCCAGGTCGATTCCTCTATTGTGGCCAGGTCGATCCCTGTATTGTGGCCAGGTTGACCCCTGTATTGTGGCCAGGTCGACCCCTGTATTGTGGCCAGGTCGACCCCTGTATTGTGGCCAGGTCGACCCCTGTATTGTGGCCAGGTCGATCCCTGTATTGTGGCCAGGTCGACCCCTAAATTGTGGCCAGGTTGACCTCTGTATTGTGGCCAGTTCGACCCCTGTATTGTGGCCAGGTCGATCCCTGTATTGTGGCGAGGTCGACGCCTAAATTGTGGCCAGGTTGACCCCTGTATTGTGGCTAGGTCACTCCCTCACTTCTTGTCCTTCCAAGGTGTCAATATCTCTGTTTTTTTCCTTGTTTTTGTGTATGTCTGTTTTTCTTTAATTAAATCTGTGTTTTTGTGTCTATCTCTCTTGACTGTAAAAACAAAAATTGTTTCTTTGTTCCTCTTTATCTCTCATCGGTCTCTTGCTTTTGTGTTTCTATCTGCCTCCGTAGTCAGAGTGCATCAGCCTGAGAGACGAGGAACCAGGTCTGCATACAAAAATAAGCCAGATCTGTAAAATGGTTGTGCACTCAAAACTCAAGTTCAAGAAACAGTTTACAGTTGGTGAGTGCTATGAAGAAAAGAGTGCCTCTTTCTTTCTTTTTCTTTGTCTTTCTGTCTCTAATTTGTCTTGTCCTTTTGTTGCTTTTTTGTTGTTTTTTTCCCACTCTTTTTCTCCCACCTCCCTATCTTTTCTCTTTGGGTAACACTATCAGTAATACAAATGTTGTGTTTATAGCTCTTTGTTTTATCTGTAAATACAATGGGCACAGACAATTCTCATTTCATGCATCAAGAGCAATTAACTTTACAGAGATGCCTGGAGCGGTTGAAAGACAGCAGAGGCAGGCACATGTCCTCCAAGAGGCTCATTGATGGCTGGCAGGGAAATACTTCAACTGCTCAAGACTTGAAAGCACAAGAGAAAAGTGACTATGTCCAGAACCAACATGACGTGTCAGATGTTCCAGCAGTTCCAGAAATTGAGATGATCATGCGGGAAGAGTTTGACCGCTTGAAAAGTGAAGTGTCGTCAGCAGGAAAGAGAGGTCAAACGCGTCAGGATGACTTTAGGAGAAGAGCTGGTGTTTGTGAGGATGCTTCTATGGCAACAGACAACACTTTGTTCAACGCTAGAGAGGACAACACTACTCAGTTTAATGTGAGTTATGGGCTTTTTTTTTTGGATAACATCTGTAACTATGTCATCTTCTTCATTTTTTGTCTTGTTATTTTTTACATTTTTATTTAAATCTTCCTTTCTTGTTTCATTCCTTCCTTCCCTGCTCACTTTTCTTCCTTACTGTAATTGTGAGGAATTAAGTCAGATACATTGATAAACCCTTTTAAGAGTTAGAGGAACAAAGTAGATATTTGAGCACGCACTAGACCAGGCTTGTGAAACTGGCGGCCCGCGGGCTGCATGTGGCCCTTTGCGGGCTGCACAAAGGAACTATTCTGCAATAATTTTTTACTGAATGACTATAATAAGTTGTCGCGTGTGACCCTCATGATAACACAAACATGACCAACATGACCCCCAGGGGATCCTCAGTTTGACATGCCTACACTAGACAATATAAAACTGCTGATTATTTGACAGCCAACCAGTGACAAGTTGCTGTAAATAATAATTTGATGGAGTCAAAGGTGAACATGGTCTTATATAATATGTCATTGTACATTTTCTATTTGTTGTCTCTCAATTCTTGTACTTTTAGCAGGTTGTGTGAGGTTTCGCTACTCAGCTTCTGAAGTTATCTTTGAGAATTTATGAAATAAAACTGATTTATGTAAAAAAATTTTTACTTGTAGATTGTTCTTATGAGAAATTTAGAAGTAATTTAGTTTAGCAGAAGGCAACCGTCAGTGGAGGAAATGTTAGCAAGGGGGTCTCTGTGATGAAGTGGTCAAGTCATTTGCCTAATACTGAGAAGGTCGGGGATTCATTTCACGAGGATCGTGTGTTCATTCTTTAGAGGATGCAGTGTTAGCAGAATGGTCTCTGTCGCTCAGTCGCTAGCTTCATGCTCAGAATGTTGTGTCAAAAGAACACTATTAGTAAAATGCTATGCAGGATAACATTCTTCTCCTTTTGTTGTCTCACTGATACCAAGTTGTCGCACAGTGTCATGGTTTTTCTGTATGTGTCTTGCACTTTTCTGGTGGCTTGTCTTGGATTTGTTCATCTTTTTGCAGGTTTCAGCTGCACAATTTATACCTCTCTTTCTTGGTCTTCCCCTCACCTTCCTTCCAGTTTGGTTGTTAGAAATTTTTTTTTTTACAGTTTGATCTGGCTACATTCTCACTAGATGACTGAACCGTTTCATCCATTGTCAGTATAATTTAATTTAACACCCATTTTTCACACAGTAGTTGTATTTTATCAATAAAGCATGTTATTTTCATTCAATAATATGCATATTATGAATGATGAAACATTGATGGCCTCAAGAAACATGAAGAAGAGCAGTATAAATGAAAACTAAGCAATATAGAATGACATGAGATACCATAGGCAGACAAGCAGCAGAGTGCCAGCAGCAATATGGATCACTTGTGGATACCTTATGTATCAGCAGTCACATGGAAAGGATATAGAATAGATAATCAGCTGATACAGTGGAAGACTGACTACAGAAGGTACAATAATCTGTATAAAACATGCCTGAAATGATTGCTCCCTTTCTTCCATAGGAACATGAGAATGAGTGTTTGAATGATCTGATTAGCTGGTACGAGGAAGTCTACAACACACTGAGATTAGAGCTGCGGGAAGCTGAACAGAGAGAAGGTAAATCAACACTTAAACTTGTTGCATTTCTGTCCAGATATGTTTGATCAGACAAGTACATAAGAGCTTCAGTATCTCCCCCAATGTGTGGAGGCTGATAATACCAGGTTTGTGTTGGTTTACTATTCTTTTTTGTGGCAATTGTTTCATGGTATCATGTCTTAGGAACTAAAATACTGTGGAGATATGAAACATTACAGCGGCTTTGAAAGCAAAGTAATGGAAAGCACAATTTCCTAGCAGAGGATGCAGGGATTGACCACCATAAAGGTGGTCATAGAACATTAAAGTCTTCCTGAGCAGTCAAGTGCATTAGGTAAGAAAACTGGTAAAAGATCTAGTCTTTTTGTAGAGCAGTGATGAGAGAGCTGGTTTCTGCAAAGAACTGGTTATATGATCTCCTGAGGTGATGAGCTCAGCTCCTGGGACATTTGTGTTCAGTTGAAAACCAGATTATGGGATTGCTTTGTTATGCCTGAGAGGTGAGGAATCAACAGTTTGCACAGAAATAAGCCAAATTTGTAAAACAGATGTGCATGCAAAACTCAGGTTCTGAAATAAGACTAAAGTCCAAAAGTGGATGAAGAAGCAGAATCTTTTGCTGGAAATTACAGCTGGTGAACACCTGAAGAAGATGAAAGAAGAAGAAGAGGACTAGTCTGTAGAGCTACCACAGTTCAGTGTCTGAAGCATTGACTAGGATGCACTTGGCAACATTTCTGACACCTACTATCTGGTTTGACAGAGGAGCTGCGTGTGAACCAGTTGAAGGCTCGTGAGCACCTCAAACACGAGGAAGAGGAGTTGTGTTCTGGGATGCGAGCCATGTACTGTGAGGAGGTCTGCTGTCCACTCTGTGAGAAGTAAGTCTTTAGAATCCACTTGTCAGAACTGAGTGTTTGTAAGGTCCAGCATCTGAGAAGGGTCTTCAAGATTCGCCATGCCCTCAGTAGCACCATCATCAAGTGCCTTGCTGACTTCTCCACGTTTGGCGATCTCTGACAGCTTTTATTAGTTTGTGTGCTAAAATATTTCCAATACAGTGGTGCAAGATTGTCTTAAATTTTCTTTCAGTTCCTCCTCCATCTTTGTTTTTGTCAAACTTTTCAGTACCAAGGTTTTATAGCCAAGTACAGGAACTGTATCCTTGGCCTTCAGATGTACAGGGCATATGGTGTTTGCCCCTAATTGTATAGGTCATGTCCATATTCTGCAAGCCGACCCCCCCACTCCCCTCCCCACTTTTGCCGCCATATTAAGTACCCAATTTTGGACTAGGTTGACTTCCAAGTCAATAAAAAAAAGATTCCCCCTCAACCCTTCTGCCCTAAGAAGCTGCTAAACTGACACTTTTGAATGTGTCCAATGTTCAATTCCCCCCCAAAATGTAACTTTACTGACTTGTCTGTAGTGACCTGTTTACAAGATGCATAGTTATTGCTGCTAGCAGTTTTTGCATCTGCCTAACTTGATATGAATACATTAACTAAAAATAGCACTTAAAGGGGGTTTCCTTTGAAACAGTTTTTCTTAAAGCCAAGTTTCTGTCATATTTTCCCGTAAGCCTCAGTCATATAGGTCACAGCAGGAGTCAACCAATCCATGTTTTTATGCCCCAGAAATGTATTCCATTAATTGCTTTATCCGGTTCGTGTTTATTGATTACTTCCTTTATATATCTTCTCTTTTATTTCAATGTAAATATTTTTTTTTAATGTATTACCACCCTGTACAAAACCTTTTTTTTAGTGTAGATAAATACATTTTTAACAAATTTATTTCCATCCTATACAAAATTACTTTTAGTACTTTTATAAAATTTTAACCGGGCTATGACCGATTAAAAAAAATGTTGCTAGGGTAAAACGGTTAGTAAATGTTTGAATCTGAAGGCAACAGGCATGCCTGGTAGCCACTGTGCTACTACCAAGGCTCCTGGCAGCATACAGATCAAAGTAGGTCATAACGGTATAAACCCACACCACTATTGTAGTAAGCTGGAAGGCTAACCCCAGCACTAATGTAGTTCCCTAGTGGATTTACAGAGACTAACCACTGTGCTAACGTCACCCTGGTGGATGTACTGATTCAAAACTCCTGTCTTCTCTCTTCCTGTACTAACATCAACCTAGTGGGTGTACTGATTAAAAACTCCTGTATTCTCTCTTCCTCAGAGAGACTAACCACTGAACCAACGTCCCCCTAGTGGGTGTACTGATTCAAAACTCCTGTCTTCTCTCTTCCTCAGAGAGACTGACCACTGTACTAACATCCCCCTAGTGTCTGTACTGATTTAAAACTCCTGTATTCTCTCTTCCTTAGAGAGACCAACCACTGTACTAACATCCCCCTAGTGGGTGTTCTGATTCAAAACTCCTGTCTTCTCTCTTCCTCAGAGAGACCAACCACTGTACTAACGTCCCCCTAGTGGGTGTACTGATTCAAAACTCCTGTCTTCTCTCTTCCTCAGAGAGACTGACCACTGTACTAACATCCCCCTAGTGTCTGTACTGATTTAAAACTCCTGTATTCTCTATTCCTTAGAGAGACCAACCACTGTACTAACATCCCCCTAGTGGGTGTTCTGATTCAAAACTCCTGTCTTCTCTCTTCCTCAGAGAGACCAACCACTGTACTAACGTCCCCCTAGTGGGTGTTCTGATTCAAAACTCCTGTATTCTCTCTTCCTCAGAGAGACTGACCACTGTACTAACATCCCCCTAGTGGGTGTTCTGATTCAAAACTCCTGTCTTCTCTCTTCCTCAGAGAGACCAACCACTGTACTAACGTCCCCCTAGTGGGTGTTCTGATTCAAAACTCCTGTATTCTCTCTTCCTCAGAGAGACTGACCACTGTACTAACATCCCCCTAGTGGGTGTTCTGATTCAAAACTCCTGTCTTCTCTCTTCCTCAGAGACAGCCTGATAGAACAGAAGAGCTTGATTCTCTGTAGTTGTGGCCTGAACATCAATATTGAGGTTTGTGTTCTTGTACTTAAGCTGCTGGCTTTTTGTTGACATAAACCTGGCTTCTGTTTATTTCACACAACCTATTTGTCTGTATTTAATTTATGTAAACCTGGATTCTTAATTTTACATATTGTATTTGTCTAGGTTTTGTTCATGTAAACCTGGTTTCTATTGTATATGTATAGATATAAATTTGGAAGACAAAAAATAATAAAGAAGAAAAATGTCCTTCTGTGGTATCCTAACATTTGAAGGGAAAAAACAGTGACATGTTTCAGAAACTGAAATGCATTGACCTTGTTCAGTACTGCAGTGGTTTAAAAAAAAATCCTGGAAGGTATTGAACTGGGAGCCTGTCACTCTGCAGTCAAATGCTCTACTACTGAGCTGTGTCCCCACCACTGGTTCCTGGTTCAGCAGTAGACCTGAATGGAGGTGGACATGAGGCATTAGAGACACATTGAGGGTGAAGGTTGATGAGGCATTAAAGACACATTGGGGGTGAAAGTTGATGAAGCATTAAAGACACATTGGGGGTGAAAGTTGATGAAGCATTAAAGACACATTGGGGATGAAAGTTGATGAGGCATTAAAGACACATTGAGGGTGAAAGTTGATGAGGCATTAAAGACACATTGAGGGTGAAGGTTGATGAGGCATTGAAGACACAATGAGGGTGAAAGTTGATGAGGCATTAAAGACACAATGAGGGTGAAAGTTGATGAGGCATTGAAGACACATTGAGGGTGAAGGTTGATGAGGCATTGAAGACACATTGAGGGTGAAAGTTGATGAGGCATTGAAGACACATTGAGGGTGAAGGTTGATGAGGCATTGAAGACACGTTGAGGGTGAAAGTTGATGAGGCATTGAAGACACATTGAGGGTGAAGGTTGATGAGGCATTGAAGACACATTGAGGGGGAAGGTTGATGAGGCATTGAAGACACATTGAGGGGAAAGGTTGATGAGGCATTAAAGACACATTGAGGGTGAAAGTTGATGAGGCATTGAAGACACATTGAGGGGGAAGGTTGATGAGGCATTGTAGACACATTGAGGGGGAAGATTGATGAGGCATTAAAGACACATTGAGGATGAAAGTTGATGAGGCATTGAAGACACATTGAGGGTGAAGGTTGATGAGGCATTAAAGACACATTGAGGGTGAAAGTTAATGAGGCATTAAAGACACATTGAGGGTGAAGTTTGCTGAGGCATTGAAGATACATTGAGGGGGAAGGTTGATGAGGCATTGAAGACACATTGAGAGGGAAGGTTGATGAGGCATTAAAGACACATTGAGGGTGAAGGTTGATGAGGAATTGAAGACACATTGAGGGTGAAGGTTGATGAGGCATTAAAGACACATTGAGGGTGAAAGTTGATAAGGCATTGAAGACACATTGAGGGGGAAGGTTGATGAGGCATTAAAGACACATTGAGGGTGAAAGTTGATAAGGCATTGAAGACACGTTGAGGGTGAAAGTTGATGAGGCATTGAAGACACATTGAGGGTGAAGGTTGATGAGGCATTGAAGACACATTGAGGGTGAAGGTTGATGAGGCATTAAAGACACATTGAGGGTGAAAGTTGATAAGGCATTGAAGACACATTGAGGGGGAAGGTTGATGAGGCATTAAAGACACATTGAGGGTGAAAGTTGATGAGGCATTGAAGACACATTGAGGGTGAAGGTTGATGAGGCATTGAAGACACGTTGAGGGTGAAAGTTGATGAGGCATTGAAGACACATTGAGGGTGAAGGTTGATGTGGCATTGAAGACACATTGAGGGTGAAGGTTGATGAGGCATTAAAGACACATTGAGGGTGAAAGTTGATAAGGCATTGAAGACACATTGAGGGGGAAGGTTGATGAGGCATTAAAGACACATTGAGGGTGAAAGTTGATGAGGCATTGAAGATACATTGAGGGGGAAGGTTGATGAGGCATTGAAGACACATTGAGGGGGAAAGTTGATGAGGCATTAAAGACACATTGAGGGTGAAGGTTGATGAGGCATTGAAGATACATTGAGGGTGAAAGTTGATGAGGCATTGAAGACACATTGAGGGGGAAGGTTGATGAGGCATTGAAGATACATTGAGGGGGAAGGTTGATGAGGCATTAAAGACACATTGAGGGTGAAGTTCATGAGGCATTAAAGACACATTGAGGGGGAAGGTTGATGAGGCATTAAAGACACATTGAGGGGGAAGGTTGATGAGGCATTAAAGACACATTGAGGGGGAAGGTTGATGAGGCATTAAAGATACATTGAGGGGAAAGTTCATGAGGCAGGGAAATTTGCATGGGGCCGAGGAATTTTTCAAGTGTCATTGTTGCAGTGTTGTGCAGAGGGTCTGCTGCATGACGATAATGCTATCTCTATAAAGTATTGATTCTCTACATCTGGCCCAAATGAATATTTGAACTAATCTCTTCTTCTCTCAACTCCTGGATTGCCACTGATGGTCAGGACAGGAAGAGATCCCTGGAACAGGCCTTCTGCTTGCTTCGTATAAAGTACTTTTCGGTGTCTCTGATATTTTTGTGATGCACATACTGCATGGTTGACCTCTGGTTCTGTTACGCCTCATCTGTATAACATTGTTCTCTGTGGTGCCAGTCTTTTTCTTATAAAAACAGTAATTGAACTTATTGTACTTTTCTGTGTAGTGATATTTCTCCAACAAGCTGGTGAGTTGAATTATGTTTTACCTTATTGCCTGTGGTTGCAGCAAGATAGTATCACTTTAAAGCATGTCAAAGACAACCTAGCAGCTGGCACCGAAGAGCACAGTCAGAAATGTGAATCCAAACCAGCTTTTTCATTGAACCAGAAATTTGGGATTTCAAACTTGCTGATGTCATGTCAAGTGAGTTGGTTATGTCCCCATTCTGTCTGTGTCTGTAAAGGGTCCATGTGGTGCCTTGAGTTTGAGCAGTTGGTTCCAGAGCCATATTTATATAGGCAGTGGCTGGTTGGTTGGTCATATTTGACACCAATATCTTGTTGGCTGTCTCCATTTTCCAACGATATTTCCTGATATATCTTTTAGGCTGAGTCAGCTTGACAATTTAAAAAGAGGAATAATTATTTAATAGCCAAACATGCTAAGTTGTAATATGTAGCCAAATTAGTTTAGTTATAAATGTCTAGGCGTAATCTAAAGATCCATGATTGTACCATACAGTGCCACATGTGTTTATTGGTGACTCTATTAATGTGAGGCATTTATTTTCTTATGTTTTATACAGTTGACAGTGTTAACCCGGTGCCAACTGGCCCAGTTATCATTCCATCCCCAAAGACTGTTATTTTAAACTGTAGATTTTTTTATAAAAAAGTTTTTTTTTAAAAAGTAGTTACACGTAGAGAACAGACATCCTCATCTTCAGCAGCAGGCACATAGTTCTAATTCCGTGACAGTCTGTATGTTCACCCCCCCCCCCCCCCACACACACACCCACACAGCAGCAGGCACAAAGTTCTAGTTCCATAAGTCTGTATGTGGTCCCGCCCCCCCCCCCCCCCCCCCACACACACACACACACACAGCAGCAGGCACAAAGTTCCAGTTCCATAAGTCTGTATGTGGTCTCACCCCCCCCCCCCCCACACACACACACACACACACACACACAGCAGCAGCAGCAGGCACAAAGTTCTAGTTCCATAAGTCTGTATGTGGTCTCTCCCCCCCCCACACACACACACACACACACACACAGCAGGCACAAAGTTCTAGTTCCATAAGTCTGTATGTGGTTTCCCCCCCCCCCACACACACACACACACACATACACACACACACAGCAGCAGGCACAAAGTTCTAGTTCCATAAGTCTGTATGTGGTCTCCCCCCCCCCCCCCCCCACACACACACACACACACACACAGCAGCAGGCACAAAGTTCTAGTTCCATAAGTCTGTATGTGGTCTCCCCCCCCCCCCCACACACACACACACACAGCAGCAGGCACAAAGTTCCAGTTCCATAAGTCTGTATGTGGTCTTACCCCCCCCCCCCACACACACACACACACACACACACACACACAGCAGCAGGCACAAAGTTCTAGTTCTGTGACAGTCTGTATGTTGGGTCCCCCCCCCACCCCCCCCCCCACCCCAGATCCCCTGATGACTCCTCGCTGCTGCAGCTTTCTCTTTACATCCTGATGATCTGTTTACTGGCTCCCAGAGGGCCCTCACAACATCGAGCTTGTCATGCATTAGTTTATAACAAGGTGGTGTAGAACCAGCCAATGTATCTGGCTGTTCATTTCCAAACACACCCGCATAACTTGGATCAAACATTTCCCAACACGCCCGCATAACTTGGATCAAACATTTCCCAACACGCCCGCATAACTTGGATCAAACATTTCCCAACACACCCGCATAACTTGGATCAAACATTTCCCAACACACCCGCATAACGTGGATCAAACATTTCCCAACACACCCGCATAACTTGGATCAAACATTTCCCAACACACCCGCATAACTTGGATCAAACATTTCCCAACACACCCGCATAACTTGGATCAAACATTTCCCAACACACCCGCATAACTTGGGTCAAACATTTCCCAACACACCCGCATAACTTGGATCAAACATTTCCCAACACACCCGCATAACTTGGATCAAACATTTCCAAAAGGAGTTAACCATCTTGGACCTCTAAAGCTATGCTTGCCATCTGCACCGAGCATGCCTGTTTTGACTCAAACATGCTCTGTGGGTCAGTTTACAATCCAACATATGTGCAGCTGGTTTTCAAGCAAAAGATTAGTGACCGCCTCCACCTCCATTCTGAAACTAGATGATGTATCTTTGCCAGGTTTTTATTGCACTAAGCAACATCGATTTGCTTTTGCTGTGAATCCCTTTGCACTTCTGCGTCTGAACAGAGCCACGTGTATAGATAATCACATCACCCTGCAGGAATTGTAGTAAATTATTTGTTGAACTTCTGATTGTGCTGTGCCAGCTGGCCAGTCCCTGAACTCGTGGCCTAATGTGATTAAAACCCTCTGCAGATCTGATTGTTGATTATTTTTCTTCTGAATTCATTCACTTAATATAGATTATCTATATCTGCAGTGTTGTCTCTAGTATAAACTTCACTGTCCTTTCTGATTCACTCAGTGACCCATAAAATTTGGCGTATTTTCTTGGCCAGAAGTTTTTACCTGGGAATGTTGTATTTGGGACAGTCATGGAGGACGTGATTAGTTGTCTCAGGTGCCAGTCCACATGTACACATGGCTGATTTACCAATCTTAAAATAATTTTAAGTAATAACTGCTGAGTATAAAATAGAATACAAGCTGCGTGGAACTGGATGAGTGAAGGGGAAAATGCTTTAGCAAGATATTTACAGACATGTCAAAAGTATCAAACATTATAATGAGAATAATATCTGCATTCATGTCATTGACGAAAACATGTTTTCTGTTGTTTCAGGATTGTGATTTTCTGTTTGTGATTGTGTGAACGCCACATGTAAAATGGAGGTTCGTTATCTAAAGGTTCAAAACCAGAAACAGCTTGCATTGTTGTTAGATACAGTCCTCTGTTACAGTAATTTTTACGTGTGTGTTCAACGCTGCTGTGTGTAATGGAAACATGGACCCCTAATGGACAAAACTATTATGGCTTTTGAGAGGTAGGTCTTTGGCAGGCTAGGCTAAGTTTTTTTAGCCAAAGAAGGTAAAATAGGGAAGTACATTCGTGAGCCGTTGGATATAAAGCCATGCTGCTGAAGAAGATAGAAATGTTACTGTTGTCGCTTCAAGTGACGGACAATCTGTTGTAATTTGGAGGAGGGTTTGAGGGCACAACAGTTAGAGGTCATCAGAGATGACCTTTATGACCAGGTGTAATTTCAGAACTGTGAAAAAAAGGAAAAAGCTAACTGTTTAAGAATATATAAAAGAGCCTTGTGACTTAGACACAACGAAAGCCGATCTAGAGGTAACCCAGACAGGTAATGGACAGATAGACTATCTAAGACTATGAATACCGTCGTCTACACGAATGCTTGCAGCAGATGCTTCTTCTAAACTTGGCCCTGTAAGGTAGAACAGGGTTTAGAGAAAAACAGAAGAAAGAGGATAAAAAGAAGCCAAAGAAAGAGAAAAATCTGGCACCATTCGTTGAAGACTTGATATGCTCTCTGAGAATGAAAGATAAAACCAATGATATGTTCTCTGAGAATGAAAGATAAAACCGATGATATGTTTGTCAAATAGCTATTTATTATGTGTATATAACTTGTTTAAATGTATGTACTGTTTGTTTTCTTCTTCATATTGTTTATATACATTTTAATGGTGTACTGCTGATAAATTGGGTCGCAAAAGGTGTTTGTGGGTCATTGGGCAGTGGTGAGCAATGAACATTTTTTAAGACAAAAACAAAAAAATTGGATCATGAAAAAGCTGGAATAATGTTAGGGTAACTGAACAAATTTGTTGCAACAGAGGGAAAGGAAGACAGTGAGAGGAGTTATTTTACCGTCTATTGTCATGACATGGTGGGGCGGGTGTCAGCACACAAATTGATTAAATTAGATCATTATTTTTGGTGAAGCCAGTCTGCAGGGCATATGATGATGATGTTTATAGGTGTTGCCAAATTGTTTTTGAGTAAACTCATTCCAAACATCAAAACTACACATTATGAGTCGTCTAATTCACAAACTATAGCTGATGATGTATGTTTAGCAGAGAGAGAAGTGAACATGTGTTCATGGACAGAAACCTGGAATCTATGAATGTTTATCCCTCATTTTTTTTTTTAATTATAATTTTTACATGTGTCGATCTAGATGTCATTGGTTTTGTTGCATGTCATCACAGTTTCCTTTTATTCTTAATTTTTCTGCTCCTTCAGATAATTATATTGTAGGTAATGATTGTGTCTTTCATGTGTGGAGTAGAAATGCTTTCAGTTTGTTTCATATTTTCATATCTACTGGCTGCATAACCCTAACCACGGAAATGTTTGAAGGATATCTCTAATTGTGTCATTTGTGTGTGTGAGATAGAGAAAAGGCAGGATCTGATGTTGTCTCATTAACCATAAGAGAGAGAAAGGGCAGGGTCTGATATTATTGTCTGTCTCAATAACCGTAAGAGAGAGAAAGGGCAGGATCTGATATTGTTGTCTGTCTCATTAACCATAAGAGAGAGAAAGGGCAGGATCTTCTATTGTTGTCTGTTTCAATAACCGTAAGCGAGAGAAAGGGCAGGATCTGATATTGTTGTTTCATTAACCGTAAGAGAGAGAAAGGGCAGGGTCTGATATTGTTGTCTGTCTCAATAACCGTAAGAGAGAGAAAGGGCAGGGTCTGATATTGTTGTCTGTCTCATTAACCATAAGAGAGAGAAAGGGCAGGGTCTGATATTGTTGTCTGTCTCAATAACCATAAGAGAGAGAAAGGGCAGGGTCTGATATTGTTGTCTGTCTCAATAACCATAAGAGAGAGAAAGGGCAGGGTCTGATATTGTTGTCTGTCTCAATAACCATAAGAGAGAGAAAGGGCAGGGTCTGATATTGTTGTCTGTCTCATTAACCATAAGAGAGAGAAAGGGCAGGGTCTGATATTGTTGTCTCATTAACCATAAGAGAGAGAAAGGACAGGGTCTGATATAGTTGTCTGTCTCAATAACCATAAGAGAGAGAAAGGGCAGGATCTGATATTGTTGTGTTTCATTAACCGTGAGAAAAAGAAAGGGCAGGATCTTCTATTGTTGTGTTTCAATAACCGTGAGAAAAAGAAAGGGCAGGATCTTCTATTGTTGTGTTTCAATAACCGTGAGAAAAAGAAAGGGCAGGAGATGACACGTGGTTGGAGGGTTTGATATGAGATTGTTAAGAGCCTGTGATTCATTGAGGGAAAAAAGGCGAGAGAAAACGATATTTTCTGTTGATCTAAATGTTTGTTGACTGAATTAAATAACCCAGATAAACCATGAACATTTGCAAATAATTTTGTTCTGTCTTTTAACTTGGTTTGTGTTGTCAATTAAATAATTTTCTGATGGCTTGTCAACTGTAGTAGCTTTGTAGCCCACTAGGTCACGGATGAATTTAAACAAGAGGACAGGATAGCTAAGAATCTGATGAGACTATGGCCAATTTAGAGAGTCAAGTACTGAAGGATAGAATGTGGTTTGGGGCAAGGACTCTATTAAACAGTTGTTTTCATATCAATAAACACATTCGTAGAATTATAGGATCAGCACAAGGCAGACAGACATGTGGTTATAGGATCAGAACAAGACAAACATATATGGGATTTTAGGATCAGAACAAGACAGACATACATGGGATTATAGGATCAGAATAAGACAAGACATGTGTTGGATTATATGATCAGAGCAAGACAGGCATATATGGGTTTCGTAGGACCAGAACAAGACAGACATGTGGGATTATATGATCAGAACAAGCAGACATACATGGGATCATAGGATCCGAAGAGACAGACATTTATGGGATTACATGCACAGATCTATCTGCGGAAACGTACATTCATATGCTACATGTTCACAGCTTGTGTGTTCAAACTTGGAAGAATAATTCAGCAGACAGTTGAGGTATTCTCTGAAAGGTTAATAATTAATCTTTTATGCAGTTGTATCTGTGTTGTTTATGTGCTGATGAGGGCTTTCTAGCCACAGCATTTTTTTCCATTCATGATTGTTTTCTAGTAGAATGCTATTTTTGGTAATTCTGCTTCTCATCTGTCTGTTTCGTGGACTTGTATAAAAAGTACATGAGCACATTAGAACGATAAATTAGGTAACACAAAAATCAAGAGCCCCTGGAAATGAAAGAGCAGACTGCTTGGCAGAAACTGGGAGCAATACAGTACAGCCAGGTACAGTATGTTCTTATGAGGAAAACAAATCCCAGATCAAGTCGGAGTTTAGAACCCATTGGAACACTTCCCATTCCATAAAATAATTCCGAAGACCAAATCAGCCTCCTCATACAGAAGCCTGAGACCATTTTTGTTGTATTGTGAACTGGACACAAGAGACTGTGCAGCCATTGTACCAGATTTTCACGATTGGTCACTCAGAACTTTGCTCTTGTGGACGGGCACCACAAAATACTGAACTGATGCTGCAGATATGCTGTCTGTGTGCAGTGATTCTGGATGTAGCCAACTGGCGTTCTGTTGGAAGTCAAGCTGTGTGGAACAGTGGAAGTCAAGCTGTGTGGAACAGTGGAAGTCAAGCTGTGTGGAACAGTGGAAGTCAAGCTGTGTGGAACAGTGGAAGTCAAGCTGTGTGGAACAGTGGAAGTCAAGCTGTGTGGAACAGTGGAAGTCAAGCTGTGTGGAACAGTGGAAGTCAAGCTGTGTGGAACAGTGGAAGTCAAGCTGTGTGGAACAGTGGAAGTCAAGCTGTGTGGAACAGTGGAAGTCAAGCTGTGTGGAACAGTGGAAGTCAAGCTGTGTGGAACAGTGGAAGTCCTGCACCACAGACTTGTAGAGACCTTGAACTTCCCGCCCGAAAACCTTTGGCAGAAAGAACAAAAACAGTGACCACACAGGAACTGAAATCTGTTGTCCCTAAAGAGCAGCGCTCCACTCTAGGGACAAATAGTAGAAGTAATTTTAACAACAATATCCTGTTCAGCCCATCTGAGTCATAACTAGGATATATAGTTTGATTTTCTATTCAAATCATGGATATCTATGCCTACTCACTATGTTAGGTTGCCTAATATGGCATAGTCTATGTGTTAATTGTATTGTAGGAGCATCATTTGTCACATGCAATATATTTAAAATGTGCTTGTGAACTGTTGCAGTAGTTAGATGGTGTAGTCCATATTTGTAGATAATAATGACAGTGATCTGGGACATCATTATTCTATCCTGTATAAACATCTGATATGCTAATGCCCTAATATTGCTTCCCTGTAGTTCTCTAGAACTATCTACTCCCAGCATGTTTTCATTGTCATATGTTTATTGCAGCCGATCATATATTTATTGCAGCCGATCATATATTTATTGCAGCCGATCATATATTTATTCAGGAGAGTTCATATTAATTGCAGAAGAGAAAGTAGTGTTCAGTATCATTAGTTAGCTGAAATACAGAACAAGGGGACCGCGTTAGCCTAGTCGATAAGAGGCTTGATTTCAAATCCAGCTGCGACTCGCTGCAGCCCACGGTCGGTGTTTGAAACCGGGTGGTTTCCGGTGTTCACCCAGCCTCTAGGAAATGGGTACCAGAGTTGACACTCTGGGGTAAATAGAGGAATGTCGCTGTAGCTACAGAGTTGGGTGCGGACAGCGACACAGGCGGACAATTTCGTATCAGCTGTCCGTACTGGTGGCAGAGCACTTATGGTTTATGGTTTACCAGTAAATACAGAACAAGTGCCTTCTGCTATAGTGAAAAAACAACACTCCCAACTTGCATCCTTACAAATGTATTACTGCTTGGTATTGTTAGTTCACTTGTTAC